GGCAGAAAAGTCCCCGTGAGACCCTTGCTGCCAATTAACCACTCAAAAAATTGGAAGTGGAGCTGTGGCCCAAGTGGTGGAGTGCTAGCCTTGAGCACAAAGAAACTCAGGGACAGCGCCCAGACCTTAAATTCAAGCCCCACAACTGACAAAAAAAATTATATTCAATGTAGATCTTACTCCAGAAAACAGTAAAGTCTTAAATTAAGAAGTGTCTATTCCTTTAAGAGCAGAATGAAGCAAATGGCTAGGCAGATGGTGGTTTCAATCAGTGAGAATCCTGGGGGACATGTGGGAAGGATGAGAGGATGAGGAAGAGGGAGAAAGCTAAAAAAACAACAGAAAGCTCTCAAACTCTCCCCTATGCCTTCCTTCTCCCCTCTCACCCATAAAACACACATCAACTTGGTGGGGGGTGGAGGATAAGAGAAAACATTTTAGAACTGGACAGAGCCAGTAATCTGAATTCTAATTCTTTGATTTATGTAAAAGATAATATCTTCCTCATGCAGCTGTCTGGAGAACAAAGGGGGGCACAAGCAGAAAGTCATCCATGTCTGAATCTCATTTCCTGTCCCTGATTTCATACTTCTTGCCCCTTCTAACAACATCTGATAACCTCACTAGTCAAAGTATGGGCGGAGCACCAATAGCATCAGCAGCCCTAAGTGCTGCTTCCTTGCGCAGGTGCCATCCCCAAACTTGTTGAGTCTGAACGTAGGATGGCAAGAATAGCAATGGAATAGCTAGCATTGAATAGAAATGGAGTAGTGTTTGGTGGTAGTGGCTCACATCTGTAATCCTAGCTACTCAGGAGGCTGAGATCTGAGGAGCACGGTTCCAAGGAAGCCCCGGTAGGAGTCTGTGAGACTCTTATCTCCAATTAATCAGAGAAAAATCCAGAAGTGGCACTGTGGCTGAAGTGGTTGAGTTCTAGTCTTGGGCAAAAGGAGCTCAAGGAGAGCACCCAGGCCAGAGGAGGACTGGCAAAAAAGAAAACAGAAAAAGAAAGAAAAGAAATTACATAGCAATACAATAGCTAGCATTGAACAGAAATGGAATGGCACTGAATAGCAATGGAGCAGCATTGTCATATAGGAAAGGTTCCTCATGATTTCTAACAAGCTGTCTATTCAAACTCTTGCTTACTTGGCCACTGATAGCCATCATATAGGTGTTTTCATGTGAGAAATACATACTGCAGAAATGTCCAGTCTGGATAAGACGATCTGGCATGGCTGGGGAGGGGGAGGGGTCCTGTTTATTTCCTGTCACTGCTCAGAAGAGGCAGGGCTGATTAAACACACCTCAGGCCTTGTGCATGCTTCACTGGGGAGCTTCCGTTCTGTTCACTGGTAAGGAAGTCTCATTCTACACATGAAATGGAGGGTAAGTTCAAGCCAAGAAATGGCCATTTTTAAATCCTCCTGCATTTAGAAGATGGATTCCAGGAAAGGAGGAAGCAAATAAAAACAACTTCCATCTCTTAACTAGACCCAGATAAAAACTACACCATTCAATTACCTTAAATACGTATTAAGGATTTGTCTCAAATGAACATCTGAACTGAGAATAGTGGCACACATCATCTGTCATCCCAGCTACTCATCAGGAGGTAGTGGCAAAATGATCTAGGGTCCAGGCCGGCCTGGGAAGTAATGGAGAACTTGTCCCCAAAATAAAACAAAAGGCTGAGGGCATGGCTCAAATGGTAGAAAGCTTGCCTAGCACAGGAAAGGCTCTGGGTTCAATATTCAGCACAATGTATGCACGTGCCTGCACACACACACACATGCACAGATGCAAATAGGGGAATTTGGCCAAAGTACATGACAAGCAGCAACCAGAATAAAAAGTTGTCTCTCCAACTGCATTGCTTTCAAATTTTGAAAGTGGTTTCTTGGCTAGTGTAATATAGCTTTGACATCTAATTACAATTTTCCCTAGTTACTGCTTTTAAGTTCATGCATCAAAATGGCCTCCTCTGATGGATATCACTCTCATAGCCAAATTACACAACCAGTGAGACCCACCAATGATCCAACCTTCCTAACCCGACCACCAGTTATAAAATGGTCTTTGCTTTTATGAGTATACTGTATATAATCTATTTAAAAAAGTGCTTTGACTGTTCTCGTGTTCTTGTCAAAGATCTACTATAAGATCTGCTGTAAACATTACATATATTTCCTTTAAAGGACTACTAACGATGAGCTGGAGGTGTGGATCAGGTGGGAAAGAGCCTGCCTCACAAAGCCCTGAGTCCAAACCCTCATACCTCAAAATAAGTAAATAAATAAACAAGCAAGCTAGCAGGTACCAGTGGCTCATACCTATAACCCTGGGATTCAGGAGGCTGAGATCCAATAAACCAGTTTACAAGCTGTCTAAGCAGAAAAGTTCAAGAAACTCAATCTGCAATTAACTAGCACAAAGTCAAGCTGGAGACATGTCTAATGTGGCACAACACCAGGTATGAGCAAGAAAACTGAGCAAGGGCTGGGAAGTTGGCTCAGTGGTAGAGCGCTTGCCTTGTATGCCTGAGGCCCTGGGTTCGATTCCTCAGCACTACATAAGCAAAAAGAAAAAAGCCAGAAGTGGCGCTGTGGCTCAAGTGGTAGAGCACTAGCCTTGAGCTGAAGAGCTGAGGAACAGCACCCAGGCCCAGAGTTCAGGCCCCACGACCGGACCCCCCCCCCAAAAAAAGAAAACTGAGCAAGTGTGAAGGTTTTGGGTTCAAGCCAGTACTGGTAAGTAAGCAACAAACAAACAAAAATAGAGGACTATTAACAAGAAAACATTGACACACTATGATATCTAATAGTTGCAAGGCTTAACTAAAACAATTTAAAAATTAACAAAAGAAAGGTAACTTGTGATTCTATAAGGACTGGCTAGAAACTTAAATGAGTGATTTGAACTTTTGGTAATATGCACTAAGGGATGGGTATTTTGAAGAAAAGTATTATTTAAATCAACTTTAAGCTTCATATAATCAATCTTTAAGTGAAGTTATAATTAAGGAAATGCCTTAGAGGGAAGAAGATTTTTCATTAGAAACGATTTGTCACCTCTAATAACTATGTAATGTGCTGTAAACAGTCTGTGCTCATTTTATGGGGAACAAACAAGGATCTTCTAAGGGAAATTATTTTTCTTTTCTAAGTCAGGAGTAATTGCTAAATTTTGAAAAAACAAAAAAGTCAGTGCACACTGCAGGGGCATGAGCTTTAAACAGGACGAAACCTTGCATGCATCAAATGCTACTCCTGATTAGCTCCCCAAAACCAGAGTCTTCCTTCGTCACCAAGTGCCTGTGAGAGAACATCTACTTAGTAAATGTGAAGTGTTTATTCTTACTGGTCCGTGTACACACAGATCACTTTGGTGAGAACTTTTTCTATTCTTTCCCCTTGTATGAGGATTGAATCCAGGACCTTGTGCTTGCTAGGTGAGCGATCTATCACTTGACAAATGCCTCTAGCCACTTCACCATTTTTTATTTTTTTTTTGAGATAGGGGCTTGGCAATATTGTCTGGGCTAGCTCTGAACTTATAATCCTCTTGCCTCAAATTCCTGAGTCACTGGGAGTGTACTTCCCAAGCAGCGGAGATTACAGCCATGCACCACCATGCTTACCTTGATGGAAACACTTACAGGTTTCCTTTAACCCACTGTGGTGGGTTGTTCATGACCACCGGTTGTTTATGACCACTGGTCCTTGGAAGTTAAGTGAACTTAGCTATAAGAAAAGCCAAGCGTTAATTATTGTACAATGTACCTGTATCCTTTCTACCAGCTTAATGTTAAAACATGGAGTGTGTATGCTGGTGCTGGGACTTGAATTCAAGGCCTGGGTGCTATCTGATAGGTTTTTCTGCTTAAGGCCAGCACTCCACTACTTGAACCACAGCTCCACTTCCAGCTTTTGGCTAGTTAACTGGAGATTAAGAATTTCAAAGATTTTTCTGCCCAAGCTGGCTTCAAACCATGATCCTCAGATCTCAAGCTCCTGAGTAGCTAGGATTACAGGCATGAGCCACTGGCGCGTGGCTCACCAACTAAAAATTTTGCAGGAGGATAAACCTGTGTGAGCCACTGGACACAGTGCAGCAAGGAGACGGCACAGAGACACAGTAACTTCTGATAACCACCATCTACTCATGCTGCCAAGTGCAGCAAAGGCAAACCCAGGAAAGGACTAAATCAAACAACCTGAAACAAACACTGTGAAGAAAGAGGTTACCCCACTGTTGCCTGCAATAAAGAGAAAAGAGCAAGGGCAGAGCACAAACTCCCTCTTGGTTCTTTCAAACAAGACAGGCACTGTTTTATTTAGATCGCCAAAAATAACATTTTATAGAAAAGGAGCTGTAACATTACCCAACAAAGTATAACTGTCAAATGTCAAACCAGACAGGCAATGCTTTATTTAGATCACCAAAAACAAGGTCTCACAGGGAGGTAACTGTTGCAAGCCAAAGGTATAGCGACACATTTTCTTTTGCTGTTGATATGAATTCCCTCTATGGTACTTTGAGATCACTTCAGGGTTTCCAAGAACAAACTTAAGTAGGGTGGACAGGTGCCGAACCTCCTCATAGAACTGAAAATAGTGTGGAAAAACATTTTGTTTCATGGTAACAATGTAACTGTGTGGCTCAGCTAACAGCCCATACATCTGGCAAGATGGGCTAAACCTGTGTTCCGCCATTAACTTTTCACACCAGGAATGCAGCTGTCCTTTCTCGCCCCCACACAAAGGCTTCTGCAGCAGCAAGTGTTACCTCGGAGGGCATTCAGGCACCCAGGAAGTACATCGCAACAGAAAGATCTACAGTATGTAGCAAACTCAAATAACCACGCCTGTCTCTGCCCAAATCCCCGCCCCCCGCCCTAGGTGGGTCTGTGTTTGCAGTCTCTGGAAAGAAGGCTCACCTCACCATCCCATTAGTTCCTCACCCGGAGCCCAGACCACAAGTCAACAGAGGAGCTGTGCTTAGAGAACTAGGAAAACTTTAATAAATTGCTCTGGGGTTCTTGGTGCTGTAGTGTGCCTCACAGGCAGCCACGTAAGCCGACTCTGGGAAGAAGTCATCGTGGTATTCTGCTAAAAACCTGGAATAAGAAAAAAAATTAAAAAAAAAACGGCCCCCATGAGCAACATAGTAAGTACTGAATTCCATTAAGTGAAAATTACCTTGCGTAATTATTTCAACTCTGTTTTGGTATTAGGAGGGGAAAAATTGATTACAGTCTTGATTTCTATATAATGATTACTTTCATCACACTCATCTGGCTTCTAGGTTAATTACTATTTATCTAAAGCGCTTTACCATCATCAGGTATCATGGAACTAAAAATAGAACCTAAACTTTCTTAGGTTATATAAGTGCTCTGCTTACAGAAACACTTTTTTGGGGGGAAAAACACCTCAGTTGAGTATTTTCCCATTTCTCAAACTATACAAATAAAACACTACAAACCCAAGAAATTCACATGACTTACATGAACTCAATTATACAAAAGTGAATAACTAGGCCTAGCGTTCTGTGACATGATTTGTCATGTCAAAAGCTGCTCGATTTCTGGATCATAGTATCACAACATGGCAGAAGATATGACGTGTTGGAGATGACTGTTCAAAATGTGCCCATTCACTTAAGAGGGCAATATCCACATGGCATTTTAACCGACACTGGTTTTGTTACAAAGGGTTAAAATAACCTAAAATGTGTAATATTAACTTGCAAGATATATAATTGGTTTCTTGCTGGTTTTCTCAGCTATCTCCCAACTGTCCAAATCCCTCAACGTCTGCAATGTTTTCTTCAATAAAAAGTCAAAAATTCATTTGGCAGTTCAGTCTTTTTTCTTCTAGGACATTTATAAGGGCATGACTGAGTCCATTGATGTAAACTGATGTCAATGGATATATTTTAAAAATTACTATCTTTAGTTGTAAATCCTACTAAATTCCTAGAATCCTAATGTCTACTTTGACTTGGGAATATTTCAAAATCACCAGGCTTACATGCACTACCATGCATTGATCTCCTCATATGTTTTTGACACTGTTCGATTTCCTCGTACAAAGGTCTATGTCAAATAGAATTGTGGGTTTGTCTGAAGTAGAGACCGACAAGGAAGAGGAAAATTTCGAAACTGGTTTCCAACTAAGTGTTGGAAAGCTTAATTCTGCTTAGGGACAACTTTATTCTACATCCTTACTAGAAAGTATTTTTTTTTGTAAGTCATGGGGCTTGAACTCTGGGCCTGGGCACTTTCCCTGAGCTCTTCAGCAGGAAGGCTAGTGCTCTATCACTTGAGCCACAGCGCCAGTTCTAGTTTTCTGGTGATTCATTGGAGATGAGTCTCATGGACTTTCCTGCCCAGGCTGGCTTTTAACTGGGATCCTCAGATCTCAGCCTCTTGAATAGCTAGGATTATAGGTGTAAGCCACCGGGTGCCCTGCCTAGGAAGTATCCTTTAAACCCACGCACTGATGTCTCTGGGTGGGGTTCCCTGTACTTTGGTAAATCCTGCTACAGTCAGGGTGGGGGCTTGAAGAGAAGAAAAAAGGTAGGCTTTAAAGAGAAGGGCGAAACATGTTCAGGTGGCTAGGCTGAACTGGGTGAGGCAGGGTGAAGACAAACCTTGAAGGCCAAGGTAAAAATGTGGTCCACAGACAGCTAGATGGGCTGGAGCTGGGCCACAGTTGTCAGAGGCTAAGAACAGAGGGCAGATCAAGTCAAATGATTCCATTAGGTAAGAAAATGGCTGGTATTGTCAAGTGAAGGAATCAATGCGTTCCTTTGAATTCACAAATGTCAGCACAGACAGTGATCTTAACTCTAAAGCAAATGCCAAAGTCCAACGTGCAAATGCTAATATTTAAGTTAGTATACGTACAAACAACAAAGAAAAGTCCAATGCTTAAGCTACTTACTCATGAATGAAACATAAACTTATTGTGAATCTCAAGCACTTCTATTTGAGAAAATTTATTTTCTACTCAGCTTTATCGAACTGATTCCTTCTAGTGACACAAAAAAATTAGTTCTGAACAATGAGTACCCTTTACTCAAAAACTGGAGAGCTCAGAGAAAAAAGAAATAGCCCCCAAAGCTCCCATTTTACCATTATAGTTACAACCCACCATAGTTAGATTAGACCTCTAAGCAAGATACCACACTGCTGCCTTCCACATGCTGTAACATGAAGTCTAGAAAAATCTTGTATATGGTAGCAGGGGTAGGTCTGAACAAGTGGAAAAAATACCTCAGAAAGAGATCAAAGTGCTTCAGTAAAGCCTTGAGATTCTTCTCAGAAAAGGACATCTTCCCAAGGATTTCTGGAAGTTTTACTGGATTCAAAATACAGACAAACACAGTTACAATCAACAGAACTGACAATGCACCCTGCATATCCTGAGGTCAGCTGCGCCTCTTTCACCCTTTTTGGAACAAAAATCAATATTTCCATTAGCAAACAAAATAAAAAACAATGCCTTTCCTATTAAGAGGTCACCTTTGGATAGGTTTTTTTTAAGCCCCAAATGGAAAGTAAGTATCCACATGAGTTAGGTACTTGTGGCCCAAACCACAACACCTACATAAGCTAACAAAGCAAAAAGAAAAATGGAAATAAAAGCTGGGATTCTTACCGAACAATCGTAGCAAATGTTGTGCCCCATAAATGTAAGAGGGCGGAGGTGGCTGGTCACCTGGTGGATAATTTTCGGGCACAAGCTTCCAGGAAAGGACCTGGAAAAAGTATGAATTGAATGCTTTCAATATTCCAGAGACCAATTTTAGCTGCCTAAATCTTAAGGCGGTAAGATGTACTGAGAGGAAAAACATAATACTGTTACATCAAAATAAATACAGTTTTATAAAAATAAGCATAAGGGGCAAGATGATTTAAAATCAGAAAAAGGAATTAATTGATTTCTTAATTCTATTACTTACAACTAATTGTAACTGTTTGGGATTACTTAGCTCTTTTTCCTGTACTGCAAATCCTACTTCACTGGAGAGGAAAGAAGCACTAGAAGTTACATAGGGGTGTTTTCCATAATATTGTCATTGTTTCAAGACCCCTAAAGCCTTACCACTAGATTCACCATAGAAACTAATTTGAAGCAACTTATAATGGACTTTCCACCTGGCAAGTGGTTTTGAGTCTATAGATATGTATTGTGATGCTCATGGAAGCTTTTACTCTGAATTTCACAACTACGAAATTATGGGGCTTTTGTGACAGTGAGAACTGCATATCAAAAAGATGACTTCTCCAAGAAATACTTCAGCAAATCAGAGAACCACAGCCTAGTCTACTAAGCTACTTGGATTTTGAGACATGTAAATATGAATACGGAAGTAGTCACGTTCAAAGAAACCCCCCATGAAACAAAACAGAAAAGTGCCTCTCCAAATACCAGAAACACTGACTTAGTCCATTTGACAAAATGAAACTGTGGATGTGCAAAAGTACCATGTTGGTGCGTCAGGATTCCCAGATGAAGGCCTCTGCCTCTCACAAAGCTCTTTTGCCACAACCTACCCTGAGCTGCATAGCATAAATGTTGAGGGCAGGGGGAATTCCGACATCTCTGTACCATCTCAACACCTAAACAAGTGCTTGTCCCTGAAGCTGAGGAACTTCTGTGACAGTGGTACTAAGCAGGAATAGATTGAAATTTAAACTGGGCAGGGACCTGAGCAGCATGCAGTGGTATATGCAAAAGCAGGTCATTCGGCTAGACAGCAAGCAGTTCCACCTCATTCAGTTCCGCATTTCAGCAATGCATAATCTTGTCTCACACATCTCATGGAGGAGAATAATAATATTTTTCTGGAGAAGGTTTACTCAATGAGGTATCCCCTTATGGATCTTAACTAGCAACATGCTCATCCACTCTTTCCTGATTCAGGGAGGTAGTGGCTGATCAAGAGAAAGAGTCCCAAGGGTTTGGATAAGGTACCCTGGTTAAAACACATGGAAAAGGGGGTGCATGTGGGGGTTAGGAATTCACTTAGGGTTTCCTGAGTCCTGGTAAGAGCCTGCTGAACTCCAGGCTGTTTAACTAGAAAGCAGCCTTTTCTTTCATTTACCACTAGATGGCAGACACTTACCACTAGATGTCAGGCTCATATGCCTGAAATTGTCCTGGACTGAATTAAATGCTAATTCAAAGAAAAATAACTCCCCTTAAGCAAGAAAACCTACAGTGCCTTTCTGTCTGAAAAATGGAAATGTTTGGAAACACAACTAGGAATTTATTGATTTACTCTCAACAATTAGCATAATGCAAATCAGACTTTCTAGCTTCTATATCAGGCGTGAGCCAAGCAGATAGTCCTTGGGCCAAATCCAACCCAACACTCATGTGGCTTACCAAAAAAAAAAAAAAAGAATATATTAAAAACAAGACATGAAATTCAGCTCCAGCCTCCATGAATGAATCTGGTAGGGGAGTGACAGCTGTGCTTGATTATTTGTAGATCACTCATATTTTCACAACATAAAAGAGCTGAAACATCTCAAAAATATGATATGGTATACAACCCTGAAAATATTTATATTTCAACCCTTACCAGAAATAGTTTGCTAGCCCATACTCCCATCATTAAATGCTCTTTGCCTACGAAAGCCTTCTTCCCTTGTTCAATTCCTACTCATCTTAAAGGAACAAGAAAATCCCACCCTAGGGGGACTTTCACAGTGTAGCTCAATGGACTAGTTTTTTCTGAACCCCAGAAATACTCATCAACTATATAACCAAAGCAGTGGCTTTCAAATCAGGTTTAAATTTTTTCTTAACAGCTCCTCGTGTTTGGTGGCAAAGCTGTTCATAGAAATCTAAGGTAATGAGTTCAAGAGTCTGGCACAATGGCTGGCTGGCTGGCTGGCAGGCAAATGGCATACCTCAATGGGATTGCTATTAGGATCACCAGGAATGGAGGAGAATCGGATGTCTGAAGCAGAGGTCAGCTGACATCTGGCTCAACCACTGCTTGATATAGTATTACCCAAAGCTGAATATGACAAAAAGTTTATTTTGTAACACAGCAATAGCATGTTATTCAAACTTCAGTGTCCATATGCAAAGTTCACTGGAACACAGACCAACCAATCACATATTGTCTGTGGTGACTTCAGGAGTGGACTAGTCTCAACAGATACCATATGGCCCACAAAACTGAAAATATTTATTCTGTCACTCTTAAAAAACAAGTGTATTGACGCCTGTTTCACAAAATGAAAATATCCACTGCCCTTCTTAAGGTTAAAAAGATTACTTGCTAAGTGTAGAATTAGAAGCCTAATAATTTTCTACTTTGAAATCAGAAACACACTATTAAGCATACTCTTATGAATAATCTTGCTCATATTTATAGTTAATATTCATAGTAATAGCAACATGATGCTTCACAAACCTAGGATTTAAGCAATTATAAATGGTGAAAGAGTCAATGGAGATGAACATCACTTAACGATTTACCTCGTTTATTTCATTAGTTCTTCTCCCTTCAAAGCCAGCAAACACAGCAGTCCCTTCCTTACTTGGAGTAAGCGGAATGGGGGATGATGATCTGCTATGCACAGGAGTCTCTTCAAATAAAAACAGGTGAAATTATTTGCCTGTAAGTTACATAGGAACCATCATGAAGACCATTAAAAATAGCAGATGGTAAAGTCGATTCTTGGAAACTGCCAATCTGTAAAAATATGACTTTTCTCTTAGAAAAAGATAATACTTGGAGGGCTGGGTAGGTGGCTTGATGGTAGAGTGCTTGCCTAGCATGCATGAAGCCCTGGGTTGGATTCCTCAGCACCACATACACAGAAAAATTCAGAAGTGGTGCTGAGACTCAAGTGGTAGAGTGCTAGCCTTGAGCAAAAGCAGCTCAGGGACAGTGCTCTGAGTTTAAGCCCCAGGACTGGCAAAAAAAGATAATACTTGGAGCATTAGTTGCTAAAAAAAAATCATAAAGTATTATGTGGGTGGGGATAAACTGCCTATTTTCCTATACATGCTACAATGTAGATGAATGTTGAAAAGTGTTATACTAAACTGAAAGGAGCAAATTAGAAAGGGGTCCCAAAGCGTAAAATTGCATTTCCAAGCAAAATGCAGATTAAGCCAGGTGTTGATGGCTCAGGCCTACAACCCTAGCTCCTCAGGAGGCTGAGATCAGAGGATTACAGTTCAAAGCTAGCCCAGGCAGAAAAGTCTGTTAAACTCTCATCTACAATTAGCCACTTAAAACACATAAGGAGAGCTCTAGCTCAAAGTGGAAGATCACTAGCCTTGAGTAAAGAAGCTCAGGGACAGTGCCCAGGCCCTGAGATCAAGCCCCATGACCGCCAAAGGGGGGGAAAACAAAGAAAGAAAAAAGGAAAAGAGTCCAATCATTCCATCTGCTCACAAGCAATGGTAGAGGGCAAGGCGGGGGGGAAGCAATGTCAGACCACAGAGCCCCTTGCTGCCTGTACCACAGCCTCATTATGCCACTGCTGCCAGCTTCTTTCCCTTTCTACACTCAGTTTCCTCTTCTGAAAACCGGGTGGTCTATTGTGTCCAGGAGTCATAGCCACAGTGTGCATGCTCAGGGAGGCTTAGCATGCATGGACCCAGCCCAGGCTGACCCGCAAAGTAGCAGTGGCTTCCAAGCCTGGGATTGAACCTACTCTTTTCCAGGTGCAGGAACAACTTGGGCATGCTGGTGGATGTGTCCTGCTGCCGACGCTTGGGTTGAGGAGATGCGCTGCTCTCAGACAGCCGGTCGCAGTTGGTGCTGTGGCGCGTAGACCGCCTCAGAGATTGCAATGCTTCCGGCTCAGCTTTGCGTCGCTTGGGAGTAGCTGGTTCACCAGTAGCTGGCTGGCTCTCTGTGGACTGGGGTGTGGATGGATTCAACAGAGGTGGGCTGGGAGAGAGCTCTTCCTGGCTCCTAGGCAAAAGAAGAGCATCGCAGGTGACTTATGCAGACCTGGTGATCTCCAGAAGCCAGAATAAAAAGCCCAGGCTCCAGTCCATGCGGGCTGAACACCTGCCCCATCAAGCATGCCAAATGTGTTCCTTATTTAAAGAGGCATTTGAATTCTGCATCACTTGGCAAGGCATGCTGGCACTAAAGAGCAGAGCACCTCTTCTACATTTCCTTAGCTGGAGTGGCAGCAATTTTTCCCTAACAGGGGATGTTGCCTACAAACAGTTTTGGTAATGACAACTTTAGAGCATGAGGGACTAGACCGCTGTTTCTGTCCAGTGGTTGGAGGCCATGGATGATATTCAACATCCAACATTGCACAGGATAGAGACTCATGACAGAGAATTATCCAGAGCAAAATATCAACAAGGGCTGGGACACAGAAACCCTGGTCTGGGGGATGAGAATAGACATCATCAGAATGGATGTGCACAAGCATGCCCCGGTCACCATAGATACCAGGAATCTCAATGTGTGGGGCAGGCCAAGGGAAGATATACTTCCTTCTATTGCCCCCCCCCGCCGCCGCCCTGCCTCTGCCTGCAGTGAGTCTTGAAGGTCTCTCAGTGGGGATTAAATAACAGAAGGAAAGAAAAGGAGAGGAAAGCTACCAAAGAGAGATGGTGGAGAAGCAGAGAGAGAACCAGAAGCCATGAATGGAGGGGGAAAGTGTGTGGAAAATGGCCAGTCCAAAGCAGAGCATGTGACAAGAGGGAAGTTACTAGTGCCAATGGAAGAAGTGCTTTGTGGGGTAGTGGTAGAGAAAACAAAGGGATAAAAAGGGATAACACAATAGAGAAGATGAGAATCAACCATTACTGAGGGCCTCAGGCTGCAGGGGCCCTTGTGTGCCATTCCATTCAATACTACCCACCAGTGATGTTCATTCCACTGTACACACACAAATGCAAGAGACTCAGAAGACACATCCCCAAGTCACTTAGCTACTCTGTCCACCCTTCCTGACCTGCTCTCTCTTCCCCCCACTCCACTGTCTTCCAAAAGCTGGGGACATTCTCCTACCTAAGCTCTCTACCCTGAAATGTTCACTTGGAAAAAGCAGATCTATAAGAAATCAAATGATGAATCAGTTTCCCCAAGGAGGAAAAAAGATGCCACCAGGATGGGTACTTGTCAACCTTTCCCCCCTTTTTTTTCCTGTGGCATCAGACTATTCAAAACAAGAGTTAACTATGTCACTGCCCATATGGGACAGTGAAGGTACAAACTATGCAACTTACCTAGTAGTGTTTGTGGTACTTTCCTTAATTGGAAGAAAAAATTTAGACGAAGTCACCTTTTTATACTGAGCTTGTTCATATGGGTAGAGTAAAACCAATGGGAGTGTATAATCAAAAGTTATTCTTAATCCATCCACCATCTCCTTACAAAGGTCAACACTGCAAGAATCAAAAAGAGAGATTACAGATGAATTTCACAATGGAAAGGCATATTGTTTTGATAGGACAGTTTTTAAATTCTTCTATACTATAAAGAATGAGTCTACAGATGCTAACAAGAAAGAATAAGGAGGGCTGGGAAGATGGCTCAGTGGTAGAACGCTTGCCTTGCATGCATGAGGCCCTGGGTTCGATTCCTCAGCACCACATAAGCAAAAAGAAAAAAGCCGGAAGTGGAGCTGTGGCTCAATGGAAGAACGCTAGCCTTGAGTTGAAGAGCTGAGGGACAGCGCCCAGGCCCAGAGTTTAGGCCCCATGAACGGACCCCCCCCCAAAAAAAAAGAAAGAATAAGGAACTGATTGATAATACAGAGAAAGTATATTAATACAGTTAAGTAGAAACCAATAGGTTCAATGCCACAAAAGGAGTCTCAGCAAGCTATGCTGTGAGCAGTGGACAGATGGACTGGGCCCAATGGTCTACAAGTCTCTATCTCTCTGACTCTGGTCCCATTCAGGACATGTGGGCAAGGCAGGATAGGAGGAAAACTATTTAGTGTAGAACTATCGTGTCTACTCTGATGCTTCTTGCAGAAAAATTTCTAAGTTATTTCCCTAACTGGTATCATGGAAAATATACAAAGAATCACGTGACACTAAATATAGCAGTACTCACTTCTTTTCTGCTGGGATATAATGCACATTCATATGAGCATGAACCATAGCGTGATGGTGACGAGGTCTCTCATTGGCTGAAAAGGCTGCATTGATAGCAAAATGCTTCACATAGGATTCCAAGATGGTTATGATGTTGGTCTGGCATGGAAGTTTTACTAACTGTTAACAAAAATACAGATATCTTGATGTGCACATCCATTGTAGAAGATCACATGCTCCAACAAAGCATCACTTTAACTTAAAATTAATCAAACCAATTGTTAGAAGAGAATCCTTAAATAAATATGCTCTGAAGTCCTTTGATCATTTTTTCTCTTCCTGATCCTATTCTCATGCTGCCTACAGTATTACTTAGTTAACTAAATGTCAGTAGTGATCCTCAATCTTAGTGCTCCATTAGAACACTATGGGGAGCTTCTCAAACTAAAGAGGTCCCCACTACAGATCAATTAAATGATTAGTTCATAAATGAGGCCCAGGCAGCAAAATTCTGGAAAGTTCCCTAGAGGACTTCAATTGGAAGCCTGGGTGCATGAGTCCCAAGTTAATCAGCTGCACAGTAACATTGTCAGGGAACTTTAAAACTTGACTCAATACAAAATTGAAGGTTCAAATTTCATCCCTTCAAACTTCTATATTGTTTTGAGACCAAGACTACAAAGTAGAGCTAAATGAAAGCACTCTATCAACTCTGTTTTCCACGCTCTCCTTGCTTACCCGTTTCCTCCGGTTGATATAGTAACAATCATCCTCAAGCTGCTTCTTCAGCACTTCAGGGATATCTATAGTTATTGATCTTTCATCCATTTCCTTTTTTGTTTGCAGTTCCAATTCTCCTTTCTGCAATATCACAATTTTACACTTAATTAGTTTAAGTTGGTCTATATCCAAAGGAAAGCTAACATATGAGACTCTGCTGTGAAACAAATCCAGATAATCCTCAATGTTCACATTAGGACACATGTTCTATGTTGAAGAACATAGATATATGGATATTATGTTGCATGTTTAAGTATTTAGCGTACTAACTATGTTTCAAATGCTTATTGTTTATTCCTCATTTGCATCTACCTCTGAGGTTTCTGATAACTTTGGAGGCAAGCAGAAGAAGCCATACCTGATTATCCTCCACAAAATTCATCATTACAAAATACAATTTATCTTTTCTTGGGAAAAAAAGAGATAAATATAACTTGTGGAGCATCAACAAGAGGTTCATACCACAACTAATGTCAAGGGAAACTTTAGAATAATGGTTCAAAAAGTGCATCTTTAGAAAAGAATTTGTAATTGGAGAATTCTACTATGAAATTTTACCACTAAAATATATACCAAAGGAAGAGTGTTTGTGATGGAACTTTTTATACCACGTTAGTCTTTCCTTCAATGTCACTCTCTTCACTTATTTCTTCATTCTTCCCTTCACCACTGTCATCAGAGGAACTGTTTATTGCTAAGAGAAATAGAAATATAAGGCAACCTCATAATATTCACTTTGCCAACTCTTACATTTACTAGGCTGCTTCTTGTACCCTACTAAGAAAATGTACTACATATATTTTACATTTTAAACACATATACTATGACTTTCCAAATAGAATTTTTTTTTACAAAGCAAACTCTAATTACAATGGATAGAAAAACCATATGAGCTAATGATGTGAAAGTGTTTCATCAGTTAGGACCCTATGGCTCAGACGGAAAAAACATGGACCACAAGAAGGACTGTATGAGAATATTAGTGGCTGAGACAGTGGCAGTCATAAGTATGACTGATAAAATCTTATTTTACTGATGATTCCCTGACTTGTCATACTGACTACTAGTTTAACTGTCAAAACCAAAAGGGATGCATATTATACACTTGCTCCTTGACTCAGGATGGCGTCATGTCCTTCAAATCCGTCAGAAGTTGAAAATATTGTAAATGAAAATTCACCCAAAACACCTAATCTACCAAATATCACAGCTGATTACCTTAAACATGCTCAGAACACTTACTTTAGCCTATGATTGAGTAAATTTATCTAGCACAAAGTCTGTTTTACAATAGTGTCGAGGATCTCATGTAACTGAATGAATCCTGTACTGAAGGTGAAATATACGGTTACATGGGTATGCTTTAGTGCCATCATGAAGTTACAAAAAAAATCCTAGCTTGGAAAATACCTTTACACAAGGAGTTTGTGATATATGCCTGTCTATAATTTCTATGAACCTCCCTTTAAGTCTGTAAGCATGGAACAGCTAGGAAAAATTCATTTGGCTATAGAAAATGAAGTCACTTACAGTTTTCATCATTTTCATCTTTTTCTTCAACAGGGAGACTTTTTAAGACAGAATCCACGCCGGGCAACCGGCAGCGCTTCTTCTTTCTTCCTGTGCTTCTTCTGAAAAAGATAAATCCAACCAAAATAAAGATGAACAACGATTGATTAGCCTGGGTCCTGGGATGAAAACATGATAAAAAAAATAAACAACAAAGCTTGAGCCAAGCACTCGTGGCTCACAGTTATAACACTAGCTACTCAGGAGACAGAAATCTGAAGACTGAGGTTTGAAACCAGCCTGGACTTAGAAAAGCCTGTGAGACTTAGCTCCAGTTAACCATCAAAAAGCCAGAAATGGGTCAACTGCTAGAGCACCAGCCTTAAGCAAAAAAGGTAAGGGAGAACTTAAGGCCCTGAATTCAAGCCCCATTACCAGCACAAATAAAAAAAAAACACTTAAATTTCTCAAAACTTGAACTATCTCAAAACTGAAAATCTCAATCTATCTCAAAATTGAAATAGCTCAAAAAGTTAAACTGAATGGCAATCTCCATTTCAGAATATTATACAAGGACCAATCTGAAAACATCTGTAGATATTTAGCATACAATAGGAAGTCTTCACTTACACACTTTTTGAAAGCACTTAATTAACAAAATGTTATTATGCTGCTTTTATACCATAAAACCCAAAAGCAAAAAGGAAGTACATCAAATAATATTTATGCCATGACTGTGGTATTCTTACAGACGAGCTACTGCTTTTCTTGCCAATTTACGCTGTAATCGACGATTTTCATCAGTATCACAAAGGACGTGATCTTCAGCTGCCCATCTATCCCAGCTAGTTGAACCAAAGAAGAGGATGCAAAGTTCAGTATTTTAGTCTGGTATGAAACAAATAACTAAAAACATCTAGACATACTCTCAGAATTGCTGACATTTTAGAAAACTATATAAAACCTTTAGAATCCGAGGAAACAAAATATACGAATAGATGAGTCAGTCAGAGCAGAAACCCTGGGTTGCAGAATCACTAAAAGATACATACACAATACAATGAACTTATGAACTTAAAAAGTAACCATTCCACGCAAGCCTCAAGAACAAAAGGAGGAAATAAAACTTCACTGCAAGTGTTTCCACAACTTAAAAGAAGTTTGCAATGCTCTTTATGCTGCAAAAAAAAAAAAATCAATCTAGTTTCACAAGTACACTCACCTTCTGTTCCAACCATTAAAATGGATCAAATATTCTGGAATCTTTCTGCCTTTTTCGTCTTTGCCAACAATAACATCGACGATCTAAAACCAGGAAATATTGCAGACCAGTAGAAGAACACACAATTAAAAAGAAGTTAGATCAGGAAAATGAGATCATAGCCCCGTTTTTAAGAAAAAAAAATGCTTGCTCTCTTGTAGACCAAGTGCTGCATGGTAACATATTTTCCTCCCAATACCTTTTTTTCCCCCTTGAGTAGATGCCTCAAAATAGGAAACATCCGTCCACCCACTCCGTGATTGGTCTCTGCGTTTGAGACAGGGTGAAGCTTCCGAGGCCATTGGCCATCAGATTTGTCTCACTAAGGAGAGTTGAGACCAGACCAGAGAGCTGCAGCCCTAAGACCTCTGGGAGTTGTAGTTTCTCAAGCTCTGCCGTGTCCAGTGCCAGACGGGCTGTCCAGAGACTTTACGCCTCTTCCAGTCATATCCCCGGAGGGAACATCTGGGACAAAGTGCCCCCCCCACCTCCCCAGGACTCAGAAGTCCAACGGAGTGGAGCAGAAGCAGAGATCGCAAAAATACTTGGAAAACAGAAACCGGGGTACAGGAGTGGAGCCAAGCCCAGAGACCTTGGGGTGTCCCCACCAGACCTAGCCGCCCAAGCACAGCTAAACTCACTTGGAGCCCATCCCGGTCCCGAGGCTGACAAAGTCTTTGCCCGGGTGGTTGTATGGGCCAACCAGAACCAACCTCGTCCCCTGCCCCCACCCCTCGCCCTGCCATCTGCCTGGGACACTGAGTCACACTTTTGGTGGGGTCCAGCACGTCGGTGCTCATTCCGAAATGCCCCCCACACTCGAAGAACTGAAAGAGGTGACTCAACCCCTACACATGGGCCAGAGAAGTAACTCTTCCCAAACATGACCCGCACAAATCCTTCAGGAATTACAAGGATCGATACCGCCAGGCCTTAAGGGCGCCAGCGCTGGACCAACTTTGCCTGTAGCCTGTGGATCGCCGCCTGTGGGCGGGATCTACCCCTAACGAGGGTCCCGGTCAAGGACTTGACAAGTTAGCAGTCCACGCAGTGGACCTAAGGATTAAGATCTGGTTCAGACCGAGGGAGTCGACGCGACGCTGGGCTTCACAGGACGAGAAAATGATCGCAACCGCCGAGAAGAAAGTCCACCCAACACCAGCAAAGCGCGTTGGCGCCGCTGGCTTAAAACTGCCTTTGGCTTAAGCCGCCGCCCCCGTCTAACGACCACGCGTGCGCTACAAAGCGACGCTGGAAGCGGAAGCGGAAGCATCCCGGCCCCGCCCCGCCCGCCACGCGCTCCATCCAGCGAGCGCCACCTGCTGTCCGCGCGCTGCTCCGCACGCCGACGTGTCCAGCCGCTCCCCGGGCTGCACACCGCGCTCCGCCCCCGCCCCTGCCTCCCGTCCCGGGGGGGGGGGGCCCTGCCCGCGCCTCCTCCCTGTCCCTCCGTGGTGGCACCTTGGCATCGTACAGCACTCGCGCCTTGGTGGGGTCAGGCTCGAAGCACAGCACTTTCTCCCCTGAGTGGAATTTAAATTTCATGCCCTCACTCGCGCTCATTTGCTCATCGTGGCGGAGGGCGAGGCTGCGGGGCGGGCGGCGCGAGCGGCGGGGGAGGGCGGGTGGGGAGGCGGTGCTCGCCGGCCAGGGGGGGCCGGGAATGGCGGAGGAGGTGGCCGCCCCGCCCTCGGCCCCTCCTCCGGCCACCCCGCGCCACGGCGAGGACCTCGGAGGCGCTGGGTGCGCGCGTCCCAGTCCAAGCGCGTCCTCGTTTGTCCTCTCCGGGGTTCCGGGAGGGGGGCGGGTGAGGGGCACGACCCCCTGGCCGAGATCTTCGGGCAGAACGGCCCCTGGTGTCCCCCTGGGAAAGGTCCCCGGGGGCCGCCAGGCTGCGCCCACGTGCGCGCTGGGCCGTGCGTTCTCCAGCCGGGCCGCGGGGGTCGCGTGGAGAGAGAGCCGCTCTGGGGTGGGCAGCGGGCGGCGGGGGGGCCGGGCGACGTCTGGCCCCCGGAGCTACCTGGCCGCGCACGCGCACGCCAGCCCCCAAGGCAGAAGTGCGCGCCGTGGAGTGTGGCCACGCAAGAAGGACGCCGCGCTGGAGCTGGCTGCAGGCAGGCGGTGGCCTTGGGCGAGGGGAGGAGGACATGGCTGGCGGTGAATAGAACGCCCAGTCATCCTTCCGAGGGAGGACGAGCAGGTGGCAGGCCCGGAGCCCCCAAGGGACGGGGTGAGCGGTGGGGCAGCGAGGCAGATGGGTCCTTAAAGGGTCGTTAACATCTTAGGTGTCAGCTTCCAGCACCACCGGAATTGCTCCCTCTTGCTCTCGCTTCAGTCAATCAAAACACTCCCTGAAGACTGGAAACACCAGCGAGGCCGCTGTTTACACGGTACCTGCACAGAGGGAGTGCTTAGTAAAAATAATAACACTCGTGGAAAGCGCGATGGGGCAGGGATGAGTGAAGGGGAGACCTCCAGAGACAGCGGGGGGGGGGGAGAGATGGTGGCCCCGGACGCTTTATTTTGAGGAGTAGCAAGCCATTGGACAGCGTATTTACTGGATTGACACTAGGCTAGAAAGAAACAGCTAAAGCTCATCTGCACTCCTGGGTCTTCTCACACTCCTCAGCTCCTCTGCTTGTGACCCCAGCAATTTACACTTGCCTCCCCCCGCCCCCTGCATCGGGTTGCAGGCACACATTCTTCCTGTTCCAAGCTTGGGCACTGCCAAGAGAAAAATGCCCTCAGCCAGAGAGAGAGAAGAGACTCGGATTCTCCTCCAAGGTTTCCCTCCCGCCTCCACTTACCCTTTGCTTGCACTGACTGCTCTGCTGTAGAATGGGTTGTCCATTTGCCAGATGCCCTCATTAAGGTGGTAAGCTTCTTGAAGCTGGAGGTGGGGGGGATGTCTTAGCCAGTCCATCATTGTATACTCCTGGCACACAATAAATATTTAATGAATGAATGAACAGATTGCAGATTTATGAAATCGAATCCATAAAACTCAGTGGCCAATTGGATAGGAAGGAGGGGAAGGGAGGAGGAATCTTGGGAGACCTCCAGGTTTTCTGGCACAAGGAGCTCTGAGTGATAGCTCCACTGGCCAGATAAGGGCCAGGAAGAGGAGGGACACTTTAGGGGAATCTGCCTGAGTCTATGATAATAGAACACAGAAGCCAGAGCTGGAACTATGGTTCCTCTCCAGGTTGTGGTTTACCACGGATGTAGGGAAGAGGTAGCAGGATTCCCCACAAATATAAGGGGCAGCTCTGAACCACAGGTAATTGTGTGTCATGTGTAACCAAAGTGTTAACCTTTTGATTTCCCTTACTCATGAATGGAAAAGTATGTTGCAGGTTCTAACATTTCAGAGGCAGGTCTTCAGATGGTTTGTTTTTCTCCATTGTCATCCTTATGTCATTGATCAGCATTTCTTTTCCTGACCATATCACCTCCCCCGCCCCCCCAAAAAAAGTAATGCAGAAATCAAAAAACTCCAATGTCTGCCAATGGCAATACCCCTTGTAGTTCTCTGGGCTAAGGTGCTAGCGATGACTCCATATTTACCGATGTAAAGGTTAACATGGTGAGCTCTGACCCAGCCCCACACTTACCATTTCTTAGCTTATGATGTGTGACCTTGGACTCGAGATAAGCCCTGGCATAGGAGTGTTGGCTAGTGTTTCCTATTAATGCTAAGTGTTTCTCATCCACTTCTCTTGATCCTTATTGGGCACCCCTTAGTGCTAGGTGCTAGACATAAAAAAAAGAGCACATACATTCCCCCCTGGCCTCCAAGATGGCCCATTTCAGGATATGGAATAGCAACATTGCCAGCAAATTGGAGCCTTAGACAGATGATGATAAAGCTGGTGTGGAATAGACAAAACGTAAGTCCTTTTTCCTTAGGAGGGACAATGTCCAAAAAAGCTTCAGAGGAAATTGCTCTAGAACTCAAACCTACTTGTTTTCTCCTTTTTCCAGATTTTCCAAGGGATCAGGGGATTTAGAGAGCCATGAAATCTCATACAGCAAATCCGTTTTACTTCTTAGAGGTATCTATGTGAGTGACAACTTAGGGCGATCCCCCTTAGCTATATCAGGGTACATCCAAATAGCGATCCCAGCCAGTTCTTGACTCTTCCCTGTGTCTACTGTCATAGATGTGTGTGTGTGTGTGTTGTGACAGGTTCTTGCCGCTTGGCTCAGACTGGCCTGGATTCCCTGGGCTTTAACGATCCTCCTGTCTCCGTCTCTGTCTCCCTAGTAACTGGGCCCACAAGTGGGTGCCACTCTGCCCAGCAGCAGAGCCGCTGTTTTGTTCAGGTGTTTGCCCTCGCTCAGTCTGGACGTCCCCTTCCCACCAGCGTGTGCGCATCGGCGAGAAGCTTGAATAAGCTAGTTCAGTAGGGCTCCCTTCGACATACATTTGGAACAGCTGGGGAACTTTGAAAACTCACAGGTGCCAGCCATAGCAATTTTGTTTCCAAAGCTCCTAGGTGATGTCAGCAGACAAGCTGGGCTGAGAAACTCCGTTCTGAACGAATCCTGGCTATCCTTTTCCTCAGGCAGCGATTGGTTTCGGCGTGGCCTCGTGATCACTCCTAGCCAATGAGAAGTTTTCATAGCGAGAGACCGGGTAAAGGAGGCTATTTCTGGAAAAGAGTCTTTCTTCTCCCCCCCCCCGCACCCCCCCAAAAAAAAACCCTAACTAGATGCAGGTTTAAGTCTCTTCCCCTTTAAGCACTACTGCCTTGTAGAAATGTGGGTAAATGCTTCAGCTGTCTTTACATCACATGAAGCTTGTCATCTTTACAGATACTCTGAGAGTCAGAGAGCCCAAAGCTGAAGCTTGCTTACCTTAGTAAACAAGGCGTTGTGGAGCCCCAGACTCACCAAATTAACCAACACTGCCTAACACCAGGCTTCAAGTAACATAATAAACCCCTGTTAGGCAAGATCTGGGTTACACCTCTTCTGCAGCTGAAGGGTTAAGTTATTGGCATCGAATGTGAGCTAAACAGCAGCTTTTGTTATATTGGTGAAATAGTTCATTTTTCCATGGAAGTGCAGACAACACTGATGGTGCATTTGAAATAGAATTTCACATGTACTAAGAAGTAAGACTTTGTGAATGAAGAATAAATCTAATCACTATGATATATTTTCAATCAGAAACTCTTATTTCAGAAACAAACAGCAAGTGAATCTAGGACTTGCAACATTGTTTTTGGTATGAAGCAGATAGACATTCTAAGAAGGTGTTTTGTAGTTACTGAATATTCTGATAAAATTTGTAGTGATCCTCCTGCAGACAGTTGCCTTGATTCTTGAACCTGTTATATAGTACTTTTAAACATCAAGTAGGAGAGGTTCTATGTACCTCTTTGTCTCTCACTCCTGATTTTACACATGATATTCAGATGTAGGTCCAAGGGAAAGCAGAGCTGTACGTTGTAGTTCTGTTTTGAATGTTCAACAGCAGTGTCCTTCAACCCAGACCATCAGAAGCACACTTGTTGAGCTTGAACACAACTTGAGTTTAGCCAGGCAAAAGGCACACCTTGAGAGCTTAAGGCATCTAGATGAGCAAAGGTTCGAAAAGGCTCATTAGAGGACTTGGGCTCGAATCATGTGATTTGGGGAGGGGTTAAGAAAACTGGGATTTGCTCTGGATTAGAAACTGTCAAGAGAGGGGAGAACTTGATTCCCTGTTGAAAGGGAAGAATGAAGCTCAAATCGTAAGTAAATAATTAAAAAAGATGAAGTTGTCACTCATAATTGCCTGGAGAAGTGAGTGCTTCAGCTGGCTTTTGTGATTTGAGCAGAAGTTGTGTTTTGTCTTGTGTTCAGGCATGATTATGCAGAGTGGTCTTGTTTTTGCTTGATCCACCATAGTCACTAGTGGTTTTGTCTGGAATTCTGTGACATTGCTTAGGGTCAATAGGAGAACAGGCAGGCCTGGCTGTGTCTGACCAGTTTCTGGATGTCAGGAGCTGCTTGTTTTATTCCCCCTCAGAGGTACAGTTTCTTGAGTGTTTACTGCCTGATATATTGTGCTACATACCAAAAAGAATCATCTTTACGGTCTTATGAGGTAGTGCTACATTCATCCTCATTTAATGGCTCTAGAAACAGGAGAGCCCCATCCGCTCCCCAATTTGTCCAAGATTTGGGTGTGAACTCAGGCTGAGAGTGATGTTTTTAACCAATTCTTTCCACCAAACCTCCAGCTGTGCTTGGGCAGTAAGATTCAAGACAACGTCTGTTGCTTTATAAATAGCAAGAGTAGTAATATGTGCGATAGCTATTTTGGACTAGAAGCCAATCAAGTCAAACAAATGACGGCTGCATGCCTATGGTATGAAAACATTTAATTTTGCTGTAGGAAGATATAGATTGCTACGGGAAAATGGATAACTGTGATAACGAAAGTGCCTTACAAAACAAAACTTGGAATACCTGAGGAACTTCACGACTGTATTCTTGGCCTCCTGAATGGAAATATTGGGAGGGAGGTTTCAGTGGGTAGGTACTCAAGATTTAGAACTTTTGTGTTATAGACACAACCTACTGTTGTTTATGAGAGGTTGATCAATGCAAGTGCTTTCAAACTTTCCTGGTAGAGCCAACACTCGGGTGGATTCAATTGAG